TAATCACCAACAAGAGCACGTCCCCGAATTTCAAGTGGGCTAGATGAACATCATCTGGTCCCGCGGCTTTGTTCATCTTTAACAGTCCGAAGTCACATTCAACTTCTGAGCGAGAGCGTGGATCCAAAGGGACAGCCTAGGGATCAGAGGGATCACTTGTCAGTGCGGAATCCAATAATTTCGGCCGAGTAAATTGCTTTTCAACATTCTCAGCCCAACGCTCTAAACCTTTCGACCAATTGTGTATAGGCTGTCCACTCTCGTCACGAACTGTTTCGCTACCACCAGGTCTTCTGCTGTCCGTTTCCCGTACCAGAAGGAATAACTTCAGATGGTTACCAAGGACAGCGGCCACTTCCATTTCTGACGCACGAAGTGACCACCAAGACTCGCGGTCTCTCTTCAGGCTAGCACGGAGTTTTGACCGGAGCTCTTTACGAGTTTCATGTTGTTCGCTTCCAGCCGGAACATGCCGGCGGACATCGATAAGTTCCAGAGACCGCGAAGAGACCCAATGTCCATGTTGGTGCTTAGACATACCACATGAGGATTTGCCTGCTGCTAGTAAGGTCTGGTGAATATGAGACAAGTGACCTTCAATTGTCTCTAGTGAGCGCTTACTCAACTCGCATATCAGCGTACTTTGATAGGAATTCAGAACTGCTGGCTTTGTCAGTTGGATGGTGTCAATGCGCTCACAATGTCGTCGTGGGCTTCGGCCAAAAAGCATCCGCATGTCAGCACAAACAAGTGTATGCTCGGTGTCCACACATGTGCTCCAAATCGAGCGGCAGTTCTGGATGCAGCCACTCCAGCGGTAACTGATAGCAATGTGACCGATCTGCGTCCAAGGCTGGTGGGCGCCAAGTCACCCTCCGGCGGATGCTGTGTCGGAAGTCAGTGCTCGCAAGAAATAAGAGGGCATCTTCACACAAATGAAGTAACCGCTCACCGTTATCATTACGGGAGCCTACACCGTGCTGACCGCCCAGATGCATTTCATCAGTGGACAACTTGCCAGCTTGTGCGTTCAGAGCCCCAGCCAGCACAACAGTGTCCGTGCTTCTTCTGTGGCGAAGGAGCTTGGTCAGTTGGCGGTAGAAGTCGTTCTTTACCGAACCACCGCTACAGTTTGTGGGCGCGTAGGCAGCGATGTTGTATAAACACCTAGTAGTCCTGCGCGACTTCGAAACTTTGAACGAGCCAGCCAATCAGACCGCACACATCGGTCTACTGATTGGAACCCAATCAACCAGAGCAGCTTCAGCCCGGGGACTCAGGGCAATGCCAACACCAGCTTGGCCGGCGTTCGAAGCTACGTCGTCACTGGATAGGCGAACTGAGAAAATATTGCTGGTGTCACCTGAAGGGGATCGAAGAGTGAGCACAGAGCTAGAGTATTGCAGGCGGGTAACCGATAAGCAGCAGATATCGATCGAGAGGGTCTCCAATGTTCGGGAAAATGCTGCCTGTTGACCGAGCTGTACCATGCCAATCTGAAGGAGGATCGAGGGCTCCAGATGGAAGCCGATGTACTGGAGTGGACCGCTTGGTTAGACGCGGGCTTGTCGACAGGAGAGGAATGACGCTCTGCGTTAGCATGTGAGTTGAAAGTAGAAGATAAACGCCTAGCAAGCATGTTTGCGGAGGGCAAAGAATCGGGGGGTTGCGAACTGAGGGGATGAAAGTGAAGTTGGATCGGGACCATAAGGGAGAAAAGCGTAAAAGGGGGAATAAGGAGACGGGAAGGCTTGCGCATTAGCATCCAAAACCCTATCCACCCTGCTCGATACAGCAAACAGGTAATAATATAATAATGTGTCAGCTGTACGCCGTAACGGCGCTTCGCTGTCGCGACCACCACCAGTCGCGAGCGGGCTGAGTATACCGCGAGGACGCCCACCCCTACGCGGATTCGAACCAGTGATCTTATGGTTGCAAACCAAACGTGCAGACCACTCGGCCACCGGCCGACACAACAGACAGGGCACCGTTGATTATCCTCTGCGGTGGACAGAGCATCAGAAATTTGTTTGAAGTGTGATTCATTGTATTGCGTGGGCAGGTTACTGTCAGGTTGCCCAGGCCTAGACAGGAGAACGATTAGGGTTCTCAACCAAAGCCTTTGGTTCAAAAACCTGGCCGCAAGGCAGCGGGTTTGGCAGTGGGCTACAAGGAGTCCGTTTTAAGGAATAAGGAGCCACCCTCATTCCAACCCCCAACCTGGAAGACCAGGAGACTGAGTTTGTCTGGCCTCTAACCATTGACGAATTTGGTATGAGTGGCTTTGAAGGTGCAAAAGCACCACACAGCATAGCTCAATGGATCACTGAGGCACACAAACCATCGCACCATGGTATGGTCCAGCCCCATTGCGTTGGTGAGGCCACATTGTCTAACATCCTATCGGATGGTCGTTGGGATCGTCTTTGGGTACTGTGATGCAGTTGCAACTTGGCAGTGGTGGAGGCACACGGGAGAACAGACCTGATCTTATATCCGATAGCAATAGCTATTTGATCTCTTTAAACGGCAGAGAACAAATGAATCTCCTTCTTCGCAGTCTGAACCAATGGTTTCTCCTTAGACTCTCGGGTGTGTGGACTGCAGCAACTGATTCAGTCTGTTAGATTGCCTTGGTTTTGATTATTCATTTTGGTCTATGTTTGGTTCCACATTATTCACCTCTGTATGATTTATAACTGCATTGCTTTCGTGGTTGATGAGTGAAGTGGAAATGTTAACATTTCGCGACTTATGTCTTCGTTCTGCGTTTAGTTAATGGATTAAGGGAACGCATTGTTGCAAGTTCGTATTCACAACCGCCAGGGGGGCGGTACTTTTACTTCCTCCCCGGGAGGCAAAGTTAGTTGCTACACCACTGTAAACACCTCAAACAAATCTGCGTTCTCAACTTATAAGCTGATATTCACATTATCCTAGAACAATCTCTGTGCGCTCGCCAGCACGCACTCAACTATACTTACCCGTATCTCACTGATTGTGCTATGTTCATCATGACCATCCTAAGGGCTTGGTAAGTATTAACCTTCTACCTGTGATATCTTACTGTTCTACTGTCCATATCGCTGAAATATCCGCGTCGAATAACCGCAGGCAATACGTGGCCTTGATACGTTCACTTTGGGATTGCTTATGGGTCCAGCTGATTGGGAAATCGATGGTAGAATTATACGGTTTAATCAGTGGATGGCAGTGGTTCAGCTCCCTCTCATATATGCCACTGTGGTTCTGTGGAACAGTTGTTCCTAGTTTATAAATATTACAGTAAGTGATGCGTAAACTGGTGTAAGCAAGGGATCGAAGAAAGTAAGAAGACGGAAGCGACGAATGGACAACCAAAAAGCACAAGTTATCTTAAATGCTTTGAAGTGCCCTTAGCAAATTTCGAGTGCAGTGCGTTACTTTGAAGGCACAGCTGGAATAGTTAAAATGGGTAATGCGACATCAAATTATAAAGCAACAAAATCAGGTAACAAAGTGTTCATTCGTGAGGAGGGAAAACCTAACGTTGCGCATTAAATCTCGGAGGCACATCACATACCGGTTGATTCAGTTCCTTTTTACCCGTAAGTTAAGTTGAATTAATTTTTCAGTCCTTTCACCGGATGTGCTTCGAAGTACCAGACCAGTTAGCTCAGCGTCTTGCTCTTGGATCGTGAATAACAGTCGTTCACCGTGCTCTTCTCCAAACTGGACTGCAATATGAAGTGTGAATAAAGCGGGCTCATATTGGTTTTCACAGAAATGCACTCAGAAACATACTTTTACCAATGAATCAGTTTGCTTTACGGTTCATTCAGTTTGGTTCCACCGTCAGTACCGATGAAGATGAGAACAAAACATTCAGAAACACTGTGTGAAATCAAATGGCTATTTCCTAATCCGATCTAGTCTGCTGCCATTCTCTTGCTCAAGTAGCCTTGAAGAATTCGGTCAAAGTACCGACGAACATTTACCATTCCTAATTGCATCAGACCAGTTTTGACTGTTATGACTACGCTGTCCCTGTTTCGCTGCGTCAGCTTTATCAACAGCGTAATACTTAGGCATTCACCTGTAACCTCTCCTATGTGAAAGATCGTTTGAATTGCAAATGATACCGATTTATCCGAAAGTATGAGCATGACAGGAAACAGATTTGTCGGTAAGCTATCTTACCGTTGCAAAATGGGTGTAAGCCGCTGAATGAACATGTTCGAAATACATTTTAAAGCAGACAATCCCGTCATAATAATGTTTGTTCATGTCAATTCAAAGTTTTGAGACAGAACACATTACAAGAGATTAGTAAGGCTGTGTCACACAGCAGACGACCGTTTGTGCTTGTGCGCTATTGCTGAGGTGCAGGCCCCTTAATCCAGAGCGTTTGAGCATGGGAATCTGGTTGTTTCCATGGGACTCTTCTCCCCCACCGTAGGTATTCCTCCATCGTGGGACCCTAATGGCTGTGCGGTGGCACAACATCGGTAGAAGACAATAACGTACTGTCGTTGCTCTATACAGATTATGAGTTGTTATAGCCTGTGATGTCAACATCAGCTAAAGCTCTATTTAGCACAACTGGCTCCCAGCGGTTTTTCCGGCGTTAGTAGCAGGCTTCGGTGTCTGTCTGGAAACCTAAGCGGCTAAAGCACAAACATATATCGACAAAGAAGTATTATTATACACGTCAGCTAGAGGTGGAAAACTCCTCAGCTACAGTACCGCAATACGTAGAGGAAAAAGGGAAATAAATAAAAAAGTTGCAAGCCAGCTGAGCTACCAGCAACGGATGGGCACCGTTCAAGGATGCTACCAGCTGGTGACTAGGCAAAAAGAAAAAAATTATTATGTTTTACGCTAAGAAATGAGATCGTAGGTGGAGGGGAGGCTAAAAGGGGTGGGAAGGGACAAAGAAACTCACAGCACGAACGCCACTGAGGTCGGCTTCTTGCCATGTCAGCAAGTGTATCTAGCCAAACGTGTTCACCGTCTTTTGGACCCCAACCTGGGAGCCGTGAAGCTCCAACTGAGGCCAGCACAGAAGTGAGGGCCTTCATTCCTCTGGAACAAGTCATCGCTTGGCCAACCCTCTTCTTCTTCCATACACACCCCCGGTGAACAAACAACTCACGTCGTGGAAGTCGGTGGGCTGGCATGCGCAACACGTGGCCCAGCCATCGGAGCCTGGTGCGTGAAATGACGGTGCTGGGCGGTTCAGTTCCTTTTCCTATGCTGTAAACAAGGCGTCGAACGTGCTCGTTGTTCACGCGGTGTTCCCACCAGATATGATCCAAACTGCGAAGGCACCTGTGATCGAACGTAACTAACCTCTTTATGTCCGCCGATCTTAGAGGCCAGGTTTCGCAACCGTACAGTAAGGTCGAACGTACCGCTGCATTGTACACTCAACTCTTCAGAGCAAGATTGATGTGGCGCCACCGCCATAGGTGGCGAAGACTTGCAACAGCACTTCGTGCTTTTGCTATACGGTTCGTGATCTCATCTTCAATCCCAAGGGCGCCAACTACCACTTCCCGAGTAGTTAAATTTTTGAACGACTTCTAGCAGATCGCCACCAAGGTTCAGTGCAGGAGGCGATCCCTGCAAATCTTAGAGGAAAGTTTTGCAATTCGATGGTGCAAATCAAGCCTGAAGCGGCTGACAGCCAGTGCTAATCTGCCCAGTGCAGCTTGACATGTCTTGGTGTTGTCATAGATGAGGGCAATGTCGTCTGCATACTCCAAGTCAAGAAGTCGTTTTCCTTGGAGTGGCTCCACACCCTCTAAGCTGTGTCCTATGAATGCAATCTCCATGACTTCATCAATAGCGAAGTTGAAGAGGAAAGGTGACAGCGGGCATCCTTGTTTCACTCCGCTGGAGATAGTAAAGGGCGACGCCAGCTTGTCGTAAGCCGTCACTCTGCCCGTGCTACGCGCATCAACAAAGAATAGATGGTCTGCATGTCAGACTAGCGACCTAACGGTGATGGAACGCGATATCCACTAACAATCGGACAACTGCTAGCCTACGCTGTACGTATGCAAGGGGACCAGCCGCGGCACAGATGTGTACCCACAATTCAGATAAACCATTTCTTTATCCGGCTTAACCAACCACACATAAGACAAAGGTTTACAACGCACAAAGCTTTTAAGTGCAACCCTTCACAAAACACCAGTCATGGCTAAAACTTTTCCGTGCAATCAGTATACAACTTAGGCTGAACAGCTGAAGTCTGGTCAGCGGGGCGCTCTCGTGTTCATTGTAAAACTGGTATACGCCATTCAGTAGCAATCGGAAGTATGGCCGCAACAATACTCGACGCCACTAGCGTAAATCGTCCCCAATATTTTGTAAGTAGTATTTAATAAACGGTTTCATCTACATCACTTTTGTGGCTTCTTACTGCATCTCTTGCTTTTACTGTGTCACGTCACTCGGGTACTTAGGTGGAACGCCGTGAAATCCGCCACTGTTTAACAGTCTACTAGAGGGCAATCCGATTCCTCCATCCATGTTATCATATGCTATGTGTGTCCGACGACATCAAAGTTTGGCGGCAGAGCAAAGTCTTAGACGACCGCGTCGAATTACAAAACGAAATCGACAGGATTTTAGAACAGTCAGTCCAACATTGTCTCCAATTCGAAGTAACTAAATGTCCAGTGCTCGGTCTTCGACACCAAATGGTTCACATCCATAAACTGTGCGGGCTAACATCTCCAGGATTGTTCTCGTGAAAAAGTGTTCAAGATGCTGGTCCAGGAAAACCTTGGTTGTTCGTAGCAATCTGAACAAGCATCAAAAAAGATCATCCAAAACGTTCAGCTCTGAAAGTGGGCTTAGTGTCATCTCGACCCATCTATTTTCCATTTGCTTTCTGCATACATACACCTTCACATAGAATATGTGCTTCGAGCATATCAGTCATGGTAGAATCAAGTTCTTGCTGTCTTGGAAATTCCACAAAAGCGGGCCACAAAATCTTCAAAGGACCGTAACAATTACTCTAGAAACAGCGACTGAGTACCCTAGGATTATGCACTTAACGCTATCGGTGTTTACGTGGTGACTTTATCATGGTTTATCATATTTTAGGTAGCGCTAATCGCCCAGTCTATCATCTCCTAAAGCCCAGCCATAACAGAAAACTGAGAAGTCACCATGTCAGAACTGTAGAACGATACAACCGGCTACAGTGTGGACGGAATTCCTTCTGCGTTCGCCACATATGGAATTCCGCCACAGAACCTATTATATCAGTCGATACATTTCTGTGTTCGTGTTGATTAAACTCTGACCGCATTACACGACACCAAATAACACACTTGTACGATACGCACATCCGGAAAATCAAACCTCATCAAACCAAACGCGTTCCAGAAAAATCAAAGGCCATGACCTTTTAAAAAGCATAAAAGTATATGTAAACGGTTAAGGCTGATAAAATGTTGGTCAGTATGTTTACCGTTTTCAGTTGTTCATTGTTAATAGTTGTTTTGCTTTTTAAAACCCTCACTTACCATCATGTTTGCAGTGGCGTAGCAACCACGTTTGCCGCCAGACGGTGGCAAAATTTCCGCCCCATGGCAGTTGTAAATCCGTAAACACTCAAAATCGGCTCAAGGTAAACTACACATTAGTTTTTGATGAAACTGATGGTTCTTGGGCACACATCGGTAAATATGGTGAAAGTGAACACAGTAGAACAAGTAAGGGGACCACTGGGAAGAGTGTTTGGACACTGTTACACATGGCACAAAGGTGTTGTTTGACATACGGAGTAATCTTAAAATACGCAACCCTCAGCTTATATGAAGATTTTTTCCTTTATATTTGGTGCCGAACAACCAGTGGTACTAAAAATGCCACCCCGAATCAAGTGTCGCCTGGAGTGGACCGCATCCCCCAGCCCCCTTTCTACGCTTCCGCCTATGGAACATGTTAAAGCTTGTGGATTTCGGGGTTGCTCTCTCCCATCCCTGCAATCCATGAGCAATGGTTTCGTCCTTGTTTGAACTCATCTGCTAGAGATAGCTTGAATTGGGAGTGGTACTCGGCACACAGTACTTGGCGGCTATCGCCGTGATCACTAGGCCAGTGAGCTGATATAACTGAAATTGCGTGTCACCATCCCAGACACAAGGCGTGTATTCAAAAACCCGGACAATGTTAAGCTCAGGTTATTTGATCCGCAATATATCATTGACCATTGATCAAGCTTTTGTGACACTAGCTGAAAGATCAGGTGACCGATCGTTTAATCAGCTTTATTGACTCGGTGACAAGAGCGTAGTTATTTCGGGGAGAGTGCATAACCTGCTGTATACGAAAACGAATTAAAGAACATGAAGATGGGAATTAGGTGGGTATGGGAGCCGCAAGGTAAGCATGGCTGATTTGACAAGGAAAATAATACACTCGAAAAGGTGATGATATCTCAATCCGTTTCTCTTTTTTGACTTCCATGTGGGAGTGAGCTCCGCGAATTATAGCTGACCAACGAAAGAAGATAACACGGGGCAGAGGTTTGCTATACTAATTCCTTCAGTTTGCTGTACAAGACCTACACCATTTTTAAATACTTTGATATCCCTCACTGTTGCATTTACTATGTTTGTTATTGCTTTCACGGGGAAGTACTGTTGCCGTGTTCTGTTAACTAAGAAACGATTTAATCAGTACAATGTGTTCTGAGAGTTTTTTTTTCCAT